CGTAATGCAGGTTTCTTGTGTAAGAAACAGGAATTCTGGAGAACGCTTACAGGGCTTAATAGTTTTAGCAAAAGTTTAAATTGAGCAAGCACAACGCTACTGCCAGTGCAGTAACAGACAGAATTAGAGCACCCTTCACTTGGAGCATCCTTTTACATGGGCTGGGAGGCTTTCCAGGCACTGCTTTTATTGTCCCTTGGTACAGAGAAACTTAGAGGTAATGTGTGAAGTTTAATCCCATTTCAGTGTCTGTTCATGTACTTTGACTTGCTTTCTACAAGTAACCTCAATTAAGTATTCCTCTATCTCTCTTCAGATTTCACTGAGAAACAAAAGCTCATTCATCAAAGACTCAAACAGCAAATAGTGTGTCATTATCAGCCTGATCTAAAAGCTGTAACAAGCCTCTTTTTACAATGTACTTTAAATTGTGCATATTTTAAAATTTGTTAAGGATTTTTGAAAGTCTTAATACAGTGATGAGAATTGCAAATGCAAGGACAAAACTCAGATAATATTAAACTCTTCAAGAGAAATTTGGCTGCATTGCAAGGACTGTCTTCTCTACAGAAAGTCTCACTTGAATAAACAGAAACCATTCTTTTTGTTGCTTTTTAATAGTAAAGAATTAAGAAACCCAGTTTCCTGCAGGTACATTATTATCAGGTAGACTTAAGAGTTTTTTGGGGAAAAAAATAAATCGTTTTAAGATTCAACTCTCTAGAAAAGGAAGTGCTATGGCTAGCCCAGAATTCTGCTAAGTGTAGGTTGCTTATTTGCTTTCAGACCTTTAATTGCTTTTCTAATTAGACAAGCTTTTGCAGGAAATGTAGGAAAACAAAACTCTTGTGGAAATTTTGGTCTCCCATTCCTTATTGGGAAGTCTTATCCCACTAGCAACCTGCTAATGCCCATCTGCTCCCTGATGCACTTCTTTAATGTGGTGACTTCTCCTTTGGGAATCCTTTAACTGTGCAGTGTTCTCAGGTGCTGCAAGGTTTTGCTAGTTCCTGCCAGATGGTTCTTGGGATCCAGCAGAACTAAGATGGGGCTACTAAACTGATAATCTATTTTTTAAATCAGCCTTTTGAGTATTTCTCCTATTGCATCAGAGTGAGATTAAGGAAGGTTCGAATTTCGTGCAACCATGTAGGTAAATAGGTGACCATTTGAGCTGGTGTGAAGTTATCTCACCAGTGCAAGAGCAGTTTTCTTGACAGCCCATTTCCTGCATTTGACAGATGCCACATTACAGAAGAGCAGAAGTTAGTCACATGTTCAGTTCTTCACAGGGGGAAATTCCTGTGCATCATTAGTGTGTTCTGTAAAGGTCAGACTCCTTGAGAATCCAGATTTCACATCTCTGCAGTGCAGAAACCACATAGCATTGGTCTGGGTTGCTACAGCCCCTCCGGATGTGAGCTATATTTGGATGTCATTGCAACTTGGCTCTGCTTTCAAAGGGAAATAGCTGAGCTCATTTTAACTAGAGTAAAACCTACTACAACCTGGAACACATCTTTTGTGTTTAACTCCCTCTTGATCCTGAAAATTGGCTGCCATATCAGTAAAACTGTAGCTTTTTCACCGAGTTACCCATAACAGCTGTCGATTTAGAGACCCTGCAGTCCTGCTTTATGTGAAGCTCTTCAATACAAAGTACAAGATATTTGCCTAACACTAGAGGCTTGCAGCACTCAGGGGCAGCCATGCAGAAAGCCAGTCCTACAGCATTGCCTTAGTTCAGCTCTCCATGTTGAGGGCTTAAGTTAATGAACAGAGTAGGAATGGTTTTTAAATATGAACATTAAATCCATATCATGTTACACTAGGTCATCTTAAAGTCAGAAGTTGTGAAACAGGTTTTCCATACACCCACCAAGAAAATTCCCAGCCTTTTAGTTCTTTTAACAGATACATTTATTCTTATGCTGAGGCATGGAAAATAAAGATTAAGCAGCTGATTGTAACCATTTTTACATCATCTAATACCACATGATTTGTGAATGGGTAAATATAGCAGTTTTATCTGCATGATGTATTTTTTAGAGGAGGAAAAAGCCTGTAACAAAAGAAAAACAAACCATCTTACCTGAGAGTCTCCAAAGAGCAATTCCTTTTAGTAGCTGGGATAAATCTGGTGGTTGTCCAGGTCTCAGAGCTCTCTGCACGCTGAGAATTAGGTGCTTTTTGAGCTTTCCTTGAGCACAGGAGCACAAGTAGTTGTTCTGTTAACCACCCTGCCATGCACACATGCATAAAGCCAGTGCAATGCTGTTATCCCCAGCCATCCTGCTGAGAGCAGAGCTAGGTGGCAAGAGCAGAACCAAGTTGTTGTTCTCTGGAAGAGGCTCCTTGGCCCCTTTCCTGCTTAAATACCTGCTTCAGTGCCTGCAGCTGAGGCTGGTGGGGGGCCAGCCACTAACGCAACTCCCTTCCCAAAGAATTAGCCTGGTTTGGAGACGCTTTAAACCTCAATGTTTAAACAAACTGGGAGTTTCAAACCTTTTAATCCCCACTTCTTTTAAAAGTTGGGATCAGCACATGTCAGCTGCAGATGGAATAGTGAAGAATAATACGTAAAGACAATTTAAAACATTTTGCTCTGAAATGAACATATATAAAAATATATCTCCAAGCCGTGAGCTGAGCCCAGTTTAGTAAAACTGCTGTTGTTAAGAGGCACTTGTGAAAACACATTGGCTCCATCATAATGGAGCCGTCAACTCTTACAGTCATTGGAGTGAGCTAATTTTTGGCTTTGCTTCCACAGGAACACTGTGTAAGGCATCACCCACTTCCTGAATTGCACCCAGAAGTTGAAATATTTTTTACATCTAATAAAACGAGTTTATAGGAAGGCTTTTTCAAGGGTGTGACTGCAAGCAAGCGCTGTGCCTGCCACCTCCCTAAACACATCCTGAAGCAAAACGCTGCTTTGCAGCGATTCCAGCCCTTCCAAACCGGGACGTGGTTTTCCAGTGGCCCTGGGGTGGGAGGCAGGGAGCCCCCGGGATGTTGCTGTACAGCCCCAACTCGAAGGAAAAGCGATAGGAAAGTGGTGCAATGAGGTCACTTCATCCCTCTGCCAGTGTAGCAATGTTCTCTCTCAAGCACGTCCTGCACCGCAGTGTCCAGCTGAGCTTCACATGACTCCGAAATTGGCTAAATGTTGGTCTTTACTGTGGTCCTAAAGAGAGCCCTTTGCTCAGGCAGCCACCGGGGCTGCGGGTCCCGGCACTTTGTCCCTAAATTCCCTGGTAATTCAGGTGGCTTCGCGTTTTTGGCCACCAAATGTTTTCAAGGAGCTTCAATTGACTGGTCTGATTCCCTCCCTCTCAAGCCTTTGGCTTGTGAGCTGTTAAAGGAGCAAAATTCTGCAGAAAAGAGCTAATTACAGCAAATTTAAGAGATGGAGGTCACTGGAGTGGGGGCACAAGGAGTGGGTAGAGGCCTGGGCAGGACACGCATGGAAAGGGAGGATGAGGAGGGTGAGGACGAACCCAGGGAAGATTCTGGTGCAGGAAATGAGCTCTTTGCAATTCTCTAACTGGGCTGTGTTTACATGTGTTCGAGTCCCTGATGGTTTTAGTTACACATTCGACTCTCCAAAATGCAGTTTTGTATAAACTGCAAGTAGATTTGGACAGTGTATTAAAATTACATCATCTCTGCGCTTAAGTCTAGAGCTTAGTCATTATTGTAATATTAATTTAGAACAGATTAAAAAAAAAAAGAAAAAAAGTAAAATTAATCTTCCCTCTGGCTCAAGTCATTGTTCCTTGGCTATTTGTAGTTTAGCAACATTGCTTCTTTCTAGAATAGTAGTATTTTGGGAAAAATATCCTGAGTCCCCTGTGTAACTGTGAGACCAGCAGAAAATACAGCTTAGCAGAAAAGCCCGTAATACAGCTTGTTACACATATTTTTAGTTTAACGTTTTAAAAATGTAGTTAAGAATTTTAAAATACTGTGCTACATCTGTCATCATAAAGGAAATTTTTAGTCCTGTATTCAATTTGTTTAGGTTGGATTTTGAAATACTGTTAAAATGCACAGTAGCTTAAGGAGTGTGGAAAGCCCAAAGAACCTTGTAGTTTGAAGAAACTTTGAATTTGATGGCTGCCTACTGTATTAGACAATTAAATTTTGCTTTTGGCTTTAATATATTGCTAACCTGTTTAGAAGATACGGGTACAGCAAAGGCACTTGTTGCATTTTCTGTGTTTAACCCCAGGCAAATACCCAGATCTCTTGTGACTCACATGTCTACTCCCTGTTGGTTGAGGAATTTAGCAGTAAATATTGTTAATATACCTTTAAAAACAGGGAATATGAAAAGTTTCTGCTGACAATGTGTTTCTAAGGGCACAGATAGGGTTTTATAGGGTGGTATTTGTATTTACCATCCCTAAAATCCTCTCTGTCCCATGCAGTCCGTTGTAACCGTGTCCAACAATAC